TCATTTCTGGTTTTGTTTATTTGGGTCCTTTCTCTTTGTTTCTTGGTGAGCCTGGCGAGAGGTTCATCAATCTTGTTAAGCCTTTCAAAGAACCAGCTCTTGGTTTCATTGATCTTTTGTATTTTTTTTGGTCTCTATGTCATTTCTGCTCTGATCTTTATTATTTCCTTCCTTCTGGGTACTGTGGGCTCTTCTTGTTGCTCTCTTTCTAACTCTTTGAGTTGTGTGGTTAGATCATTTATTACCAGTTTTTCTTGTTTTTTTGAGGTAGGCCTGTAGAGCTATGAACTTCCCTCTCAGGACTGCTTTCATTGTGTCCCATAGATTTTGGATTGTTGTGTTTTCATTGTCATTTGTTTCCAGGATGCTTTTTATTTCTTCTTTGATCTCTCCGGTAACCCAGTCATTGTTTAATAGCATGCTATTTAGCCTCCAAGTGTTTGATTTTTTTTTCAATGTTTTTATTGTAGTTGATTTCTAGTTTTATGCCATTGTGATCTGAGAAGATGCTTGTTATGATTTCTATTGTTTTGAATTTGAAGAGACTTTGCCTGTGTCCTAAGATATGGTCTATCTTTGAAAATGTCCCATGTGCACTGGAGAAGATGTATATTCTGTAGCTTTGGGGTGAAATATTCTGAAGATGTCAATTAAGTCCATCTGATCTAGTGAGTCATTTAGGATTGCTGTTTCTTTGCTGATTTTTTGTTTAGAGGATTTATCCATTGGTGTCAATGGGGTATTAAAGTCCCCTACTATGACTGTATTGCTATTGATCTCTCCCTTGATATCTTCCAGAAGTTGTTTTATGTATTTGGGTGCATATATGTTTACCAGAGTTACACCTTCTTGTTGAATTGCTCCCTTTAGTATTATGTAGTGGCGTTCCTTATCTCTTGTTATGGCCTTTACTTTGAGGTCTATTTTGTCAGATATAAGTATCGCAACCCCAGCTTTTTTCTCATTTCCATTTGCCTGAAAATTTTTTTCCATCCCTTCACTCTCAGTCTGTGTGAATCCTTGATTCTGAGGTGGGTCTCTTGCAGACAGCAAATATATGGGTCACGTTTTCTTATCCATTCAGCTATCCTGTGTCTTTTGATTGGAGCATTTAATCCATTTACATTTAATGTTATTATTGAAAAGTACTTGTTTGTGGTCATTTTTATTCTTAATGTTTGTGTTTCTTCTTGTCTTTCTGTTTCTTCTTTTTACAGCAGTCCCTTTAGCATTTCTTTAATTGCTGGCTTGGTGGTAATAAACTCTCTTAGCCCTTTTTTGTCTGTGAAGCTCCTGATTCCACCTTCAATTTTGAATGATAGCCTTGCTGGGTATAGTATTCTTGGATTCATTCCCTTGCTTTGCATCACTTTGTATATTTCATTCCATTTCCTTCTTGCCTGGTGTGTTTCTGTTGAGAAGTCAGCTGATACCCTAATAGGAGATCCCTTGTAGGTAACTTTCTGTCTCTCTCTGGAAGCCTTTAAGATTCTTACTTTGTCGTTGGTGTTTGCCAATTTAATTATGATGTGTCTTCGCGTTGGTCTTTTGGGGTTCATCTTGTTTGGCACTCTATGTGCTTCTTGGACTTGTGTAGTTTTTTTCCTTGCCAGTATCAGAGAAGTTTTCTGTCATTATTTCTTCAAACAGGTTTTCTATTCCTTGCTTCTCCTCCTCTCCTTCTGGTACCCCTATTAAGTGAATGTTTTTTCGTTTTGCATTGTCCCAAAGCTCCCTTAGGTTCTCCTCTTGCTTTTTAAGTTTTTTTTCCAGTTGCTCCTGTGTTTGTGTGTTTTTTCCTACCTTGTCTTCTAATTCGCTGATGCAGTCCTCAGCCTCTTCTAGTCTGCTGTTTAAGCCTTCCATTGTGTTCTTTATTGCAGCTATGTCCTTCTTCATTTCCTCTTGGTTCCTTTTCATGTTGGTGACATTCTCATTCAGCTCCTTATAATTCTCAGTGAGTTGTGTGTATTTGTCATCCAGCGTTTGAGCATCCTTATAACCATTACTCTGAATTCTTTCTCTGATAAGTTAGTAGCCTCAATTTCATTTAACTCCCTTTCTGGTGATTTCTCTTTTTCTTTCCTTTGTGGGTTGCTTTTTTTCTTCCCATGTTTTGCTGTAATGTTTTAATTGTAGCTCTGATTGCTTCGCTACCCAGTTTCTTTTGGGTATGGTGCTACTGGTGTGACCTGGGCTTAGTAGTCTAGTGTAGCTCCCTACTTGAGCTATTTGGGTTCTCTTGATGTAGGCCTGCGAGCTGGAAAGGCGCAACTGAGGTGTCTAGAAGTCAGCAGCCGTGGATGGGGTGTCCCAATTTTTGCTGTCTTGTGCCCTTGGTTGAATGCGTGCCCAGCCGGTACTCACAGTGGCACCCAGGAACCATCTGTTGGGGTGGTGGGGCTCAGGAGGCCTGTGTTCTGGAAAGGCGTGACTGTGGTGTCCAGAGTTCTGTAGTTGTGGGGATGGGCAGACTCAACTTTTGCTGCTGCCTCCGTGGTTGGATACACGCAATCCCAGCAGCAGTTCACAGGGTCACCTGTGGTATGTTTGCTAGCAGGATGTACTGACACACTCTGAAGGGCCCTGGCACTGAAGCCACTGGATTGCAGTGTCTGTGGGCAGGTATCCCAGAAGAGGGAATTCAGCGTTTCTACAGCCCAGCAATGCACCCCTGTTTGTTTAAGTGTGTGTCCAGCGGGGCTCACAGCGGGGCCCCAGGGCTGCTGGTCTTGGGAGACCTACACGCTGGAAAAGCATGCAACTGTAGTGTGCAGAGTTCTGCAGCTGTGGGGTCGGGAAACTCAGTTTTTGCTGATGCACCTGTGGTGGATAGGCGCGCGTTCCTGGTGGTGGCACACAGGAGCACCCACAGTGAGTTTGCTAGTGCAGGCGCACTGAAGCACTCTGAAGGGTCCTGGCACGCTTAATCAAGGCGTCTTCGGGCAGGTATCCAGGATGGGTGAAATCAGAATTTCTACTGCCCAGGGGAGTGCGTCCCTGTTTGTCCAAGATCGGACCCAGCAGAGGCTCACTGTGGCTTCCCAAAGTGCCCTGTGGATAGATGGGCTCAGGGGGAGTGAGCAACTGTGGCAGTGCCTTGGCCAGGCGCTGAACTCTGACGCATTCTGAGGGACCCTGGCGCTGAAGGGCCCTGGCGCTTAAGTTGCGCAGCTGGGTGTGTGTGGGCAATTATTCAGGCAGAGGGAATTCAGAATTTCTACTGGGGGGCAGTGCGCCTGTGTCTGTACAAAATCATACCCAGCTGGGGCTTACAGTGACTCCTAAGAGAAGTCTATGGAGTGGTGTGCCTCGGAGACCTGTGCGCTGGAGACGCACGAATGCAATGTCCGAGGTCTGCCACTGGGGAGGTGGAGGCTGCACTTACTGCTGCGGGCGCAGTGCTCCTTTCCAGGTGGAGATCCCAGGGTCTGCGAGTCTGCAGGTGGACAGCAGGATTTTGGCTGGAGTGGCTGCTGGGTTGCGGGCAGTATCCAGGCCTGTCTGGGTGGTGGTGCTAATGAGTTCCTAAAAGAGGCCACTCTCCCCTTCAAGATGGCGTGGGCTCCGTGCCCGGGTCAACTTCTCAGTTTTTAAAAAACTACTTTTTAAATTTTATTTCTCCCATTTCTGTGTTTTTTCACTAATTTTTGTGTGAAAAGAAAGTACATATAGGAAATACTTTGTAAAATTTTATCCTCAGTTTCTATCACTTGACAGTAGATTTATTTGTATAAGCACAACACTTCCTTTCTATATATATATATAAATTTTATATATATAAAATTTCCTATCAAGCATATAGATTTGGTTGTTCCATATTTCTTTTTTTCATACTGGTTATGTATATGAAAGCTAGTGACAGAAACCAAAGGGAAAGACCTTTCCAAGGAATCTAGGACCAAACTTTTATAGATTTTAATACATTATGGCAGGCCATACTTTATTTTTATGTACTGATAGTTGATTGTCCAAACCAGAAAACTTCTAAAGGAATGTTGGATTCATGGAATGGCTCTTTAGCAATTTACAAGCAGTTTTTTCTTATATACTTTATACTAGAGGCCCAGTGCATGAAATTCCCCCAAGCCGGTCCGCCCCCTGGTCAAACTCCCAGAAGAACTCCAGTTGAGGGGGCAATTTGCATACTATGCTGTTATTATATAAGATTGTATATAGATTTTATTATATGTTCATTTAAGAAGGAGCTGTTACCATTTATTACTTTAGTAAACACTAAGATGTAAAAATGTTGCATTTTTTACAACAATGGAATATGTCTTTTAAAATATTTGCAGCTTTTTTCCAGCACTTTGTAATTTAACTGAAGAACTTGAAAGTGCTAACATTCTGTGAAAAATGAAAGGGATATGTTTCATTCAAATGATACGTTATCTTCTGCTATAGTTCCTTTTTGTGGCAAAGGTCCTCCCTTAAATGGCTCACTGATCCATGATAAAGAACAATTTCATAAGGTGATAGGGAAGTAAGCTAATAATATTCATGGGGGAGTCCAAGTCTGACCCAGGCCACAACTGCCCTCTAGTCTCCAGCTTAGGTGATCTAGTGAGCACTGACTCTGAGAGCATCTTCTTAATAAAATTGTAGCGTTATCCAGTGGTAATTCTGGGGTCAACTTTTTAGTCCTCTCTAATGTCACTCTTAGGAAGTGAGGGGAATTGTCCCTAGCTTCTCAGGTGACAGTTTGGAATTGACATTTCCTCATACAACATAATTTAAAAGTGTACATTGCAATGTTAACACTGTACCCTGGGCACATGAATTAAATAGATGTTTGGGAGCTTTCCTAGGAGGTTAGTACCATTTACATTGATTTATAGATGAATCTTCCGAATTCAAAATAGTTCACAAGTTGGGGATTATATGTACCTTTGTTTTTTAATTTAATTCAGTATTAATTTGTCAGGATGCTGCTTTAAATGGCAAAGCCTCTCTTCCCTTTACTTCTTTTCATCTCTCAATTTCCTTTTCTTACACAGAGCTACCCCATAAAAGCATAACCTTGATAACCAATCTGGAGGGCTGGGTTGGACACCCTCTGGACCCTGTGGGCACTCTTTTCAGCAGCCTTATGGAAGCCTGCCACATGGACGATGAAAGCTTCCCTGGATTCTCCAGTTTCACAGGTAAAACCTTGACATTGGTCTCGTGTGCCCTTTTTTCTAAACTCTGAATGGCAGTGGTCATTTTTCTTCACAGTTTGTTTTATGAACCCATACAGTTAACAATATCTACAGCTAGCAAGAGAGCAAGGAAATAGGCACTCTCCGCTTTTCAGGCAGGCTCAGATTCGACAGTTGACAGCATGTATAAAGAACCTTAGGCATATTTATTCTCTTCTAGTCAGTGGTTGTGCATCTAAGAATTTATTTGCATTGATGACTGTTTTCCAGCATAAAGATATACAATAAGGATGTGCATAATGTGGGAGTGAGAAAGGATTGTCCCTTTGCTGCTCCCAGGTTTGGGTGAGCTCAGAGGGTTTATTATCTTCCCTCCATATTGTCTATTGTGGTGGTTACCTCCATGGATTATGGGTGACCCAAAACTATTGGGAGGGCAAAAGGTATGACTGTGAATGTGCTTTCCTTGGGAGTTCAGTGGTTGAAAGTTTGTTAAAGTTTATAATGGAAACAGAGATAAGAGAATGCTCAAAGAATCATTACTATTGTGATAACTGATGACTTATTTGATAACAAAAAGGCCCTTGAAATTGGGTTACATGTGTTGTATTCTCTACTGTTTTTATAATAAACTAGAGGCCTGGTGCATGAAATTCGTGCATGGGAGGGGGGTGTCCCTCAGCCTGGCCTGCACCCTCTCCAATCTGGGACCACTGGCCCCTAACTGATTGCCTGCCTGCCTGCCTGATCACCCATAACTGCCCTCTCCTGCCAGCCTGATCACCCACAAGTGCCCTCCCCTGCCGGCCTGATTGCCCCCTAACTGCTTGCTCCCCTGCGCTGGCCTGATCTTGCCCCCAACTGCTTGCTCCCCTGCCGGCCTGATCACCCCTAACCGCCTCTGCCTCAGCCCCCGCCACCGTGGCTTTGTCCGGAAGGAAGTCAGGCATCTGGAAGATGTCTGGTCAATCTGGTCTAATTAGCATATTACCCTTTTATTAGTATAGATTTTAACATTGTGATAAAAGTATGCAAACTTTTTTTATTGTGAGGCTTTTAAGAATTGGTAACTGTTGCAGTCATCATATAATTTTACACTTGTTTAATTAAAAGTTTTCTCATTCTTAAGTATTCTTAGTATCTCCTCTTAGATTTATAGTTTTCTTTGGTGATTCATTTTCAATGGGAAAAATATTTGTAATATTCTATCCCCCAAAGCATACACATCTAGTTATTCATTTAGAAAACATAATGGAAAGCTATACACTTGTTTTTTGGTCTTCTTGGAATTAAGTCAATAATTCATTTACAAGTACTGGGTAAAATAAATATTTGTACCTGAGATAGTTGTTTCTGAACTCTGATTTCTTTTGTGACATTTTACAGAGAATATGGGACAGTGCAAATCTCTGGAATACCAGCATCTACCTGCACACAAATTCTTAGAAGAAGGGGAATCCTATTTAACACTAGCTGTGGAGGTAGCCCTGATAGGGCTGGGACAGCAGCGTATCATGCCTGATGGGCTGTACACACAAGAGAAGGTTTGCCGGAATGAGGAGCAGCTCATTTCTAAACTTCAGGAAATTGAATTGGATGACACACTGGTGAAAATTTTTCGAAAGCAAGCAGTCTTCCTATTAGAAGGTAGTTTAATAAAGAGATTTTCCACTTATTTAGCCAATTTTATTTATGTTGGAAGTAAGGTTTGAATGTATTTAATATGGTGGTTATCCTGGTAGTATGGTCAGTGAGTGTTCATTATCCAATTACAGTATTACTTAATAAAAAAATACAGATGTTCAGATTTATATCATTTTATTTAGGTGGTCACATAGGATAACCTATTAGAAATGAGCCCCATTTAATGCCACCAGCTCTGAAAAGGACTGTTTTTATTTTGGCTTGTTGTTCCTGAGATAAATGCAAGTTTGATATTTAGTGAGCTGTTGCTGGTAGCCATATTCCTCTTTGCTGGATCAATTAAATAATATAATGGAAATTGATTGGCATTCCTCTGAATTATTGGCTATTACATGACGTCTGGGTTTTGAATATGTCATTTGCACATGCTAACAAAGGACTGAAAGCTGCAGGAGTGGATCTCCACTGTGCTGAGTCATTATTTCAGAGAATTCATTAGGATTAGATTCAGCAAGTTAAAGTTTCATAGACTCTCTAAGGCAAAGCCCAGTTTTCTTCTTTTCATAAGGTTAAGAGCTGAAGTGCCTAACAAATTTGGCTGGCATTTTTTTTAACACAGTTTTGTGTGTTTTTTTCCTTGAAAAGACTAAGTGTAATTAGTATGGTAAATTTAGGTGATGTCTAATTGATAAAAATGACTTCTCTCTCAAGTACACACTTGTCATTATTATGGGATTCTCTCTGATTGATAGGCTCAAAAAGTGTGCTGTCTTCATCTTATATTCAGAACTGTTACATATGGGGAAGGGATTTAGAGAAAATAGCATTTCAAAACCTCTTTTATTTTTCCAAAGCTAAAGATCTATTTGAAATATTTTCACCAATACATTATACACATTTGTGTTTTAGAAATGCATTCTAAAGAGAAAATGTTTTTAATAGCATGCTTAATTTAGGTAAAAATTCCTAATATTAATTTTTTGAAGCACTCTGCTAAAGTTTTTTTTTTTCTTCTTCTTCTAAACATAAAAGCCTATCTTGGCAAATTTCAAGTGATCTTGATTCTTTCATTACTGTTTTCTTTTACTTTCCTCTCATAATTTCTTTTGAAATAAGCAAAATCATTAACCATAAGCTTTTTTTATGATGTCACTGAGTCTTAGTAACTGGCTTTTGGTTTCCAATACATTGAAGAATAAGAGGGTGTATGCTTTTCAGTCTTGAGGGTGTCTGATATCTGTTTATCATTTTACCTTTTAAAATGTTCTCCATGTTCATTACTCATGAATAATTTTTAACTGTCTTAGTCTTTGATTAGTTCATACCTCCCCATTAAATATTTTTGTAAGAACTGTGCCTGATGAAGAGTGTTGTTGACTCATCCCTGCTCGGCCCACAGAGAGTGGGTGGTGCAGGACAGGAAACAGTCCAACAAGAAAGAAAGGAACCCTTTCTGTCCACTCCAGAAGATAGGCACCTCATGGTTGAGTTGACTGCACTGGGCACCAACTTCTTTATGCATCAATGTACTCCAGGAATTTCAGGGGTGCAATAGTTAGCAGACTCAGATGTCGGAAACTTCTGGGGAACTTACTACCAAATTTCAGTTTTTCATTATTCAATACACTGATTATTGAATTACAGTGATTATTAAGCCACAAATAATTCGGTGTTACCCGACTGAATGTTTTGCTTGTTGGTAAGTGTCGTAACAAAGTGCCGATTATGCATTCTGGCTTTTCCTGCATAGTGAACAGGTAGCTTGATGGTTTAAGGGGGAAACATTGAAATGAAATGGAAGAGACATGAAAAAAACAGTCTACAAATTTGCTATATTTAGTTCTTAAGTAAAATAGAGTTAGTGTCTTAGTCTGTTGAGGCTCCCATAACAGAATACTATAGACTGGGTGGCTTAAGCAGTTGAAATTTTCTCCTCACAGTTCTGGAGGCTGAAAAGTCTAAGGTCAGGTGCTGGTCAGTACAGTTTCTGGTGAGGTCCTTCTTCTTGGCTTGTAGACAGCTGAGAGAGAGAAGGTGCATGCGTGAGAGCTCTAGCTCTGCTGTCTCTTCCTATAAGGATATTAATCCTATTGGATCAGGGCCCCACCCTCTGACCTCATTTAACCTTCATTATCTTTATGAAGGCCCTTTCTCCAAATACAGTCACATTGGGAGTTGGGACTTCGACATAATGAATTGAGGTGGGAGGTAACAAGCATTCAGTTCATAATAATAACCTAAATAATTTGGCCTCATTATATGAGCTAAAGGTCGAACTACTAGTATAATGCTATTTCAGCTTTTGAAGAATACCAGATCATTAAAGCATTTTTAAATATCTTAAACACAAGAAAAAGTTGAATAGGTTTGGTAAAATTAGAAATGTAGGATGTATTTTAATTTACCTAGGTTAAAAAAAATGGTGTTTACTATATGATTCTTCAAGTACTTAGAACAAATAATTCAAAAATACTAATGAAATTTTAAAATAACCTCTATTAAAATTATCTATAATATGTAATATGTAATGTTCCTATTCCATGCTAGTGCAGTAACTCCTCTCACCGTTTCTTTTGCATTTCTTGCATTTTAAACTCTTCACAAGACTGATTTTTTCTCAGGGAAAACAAATGCATTATGTCCTTTGAGCAGTAGTGTCATGGTTCATAACTCTAGAAATCATGAAACAGTTTTTACCCAAAGGTGACATGGAAACTAATTTATTATACAGTTTACAGTAACTAAACCTCAAGGTACGTAAGTGGAAAGTAGTTGAACTAACCACTGTGGTTTCCTTTAAAAATTTAAAAGTCTGTATTGCCCTTCCTAGGGTAGCATTCAGAGATCACAGGGGAAGTCAGCTCTGCCACCATCCCTGTCATAGCTTACTAAGAAATGAATTTTGGCTGCTTCAATGTAATTTTGCTTTTAAAATTGGTCTTTTGGAGCGCAAAAAGTAAATTTTCAGTTACTTTAATTTTTTTTCTTTTGCCTATGGTGAGTATCAAATGGGTAACTATTCTCTTATTATTAATCACCTTCTGAGAATCATTATTTCTGCTTATTAGAAGAAACAATGTTTAAAGTCTTTGTATTGAGATTTGTGTTTCAGAATCCTCCCCAACCCTTCAGAGCACTCTTTTCTGGAAACTTGGCTTGTCTGTGCCCTTGAGACTGAGGGACCAGGCACAGGTTCCAAAGTTAAGCGGCAGAGTTATCTGTGCATTTGAAAATCTGGATGCTGGAACATACACGTGTACAGAGGATGTTTCTTGAATTCAGTGAGGTTTTATACATTGGAAGGTTTCTTTCTCCAAAGCAGTTATAATGTGAAAAGGCTCTGCCCTTTAGTTCTTTGATTCTCATTTCAGCTGTGGTGCAGTTGGAGGATTGTTCCTGAAGTAAATTCGACTTTGAATACCATAGCCTATAGAATCATTTTTGACTAAGAATCTGTATTCCTTCTACTATGCCACTTAGATCAGCAGTCGCCAACCTTTCGGACCTCATAGACAATCAGTGGTTCTCGGGCCACCGGTTGGCGACAGCTGACTTAGATTACATTCTTAACTAGATTAGCTTGTATACGTTATAACTTTACATAACAATTTTAAGATATACTTTACATGAAGTCTTAGTTCCTTTTTTAGGAATGTAAAATGTGTATGCTCTCTTCCCACAGCCGGACCATATAGTGGTTTAGGCGAAATAATCCATCGGGAGAGCGTTCCAATGCACACATTTGCCAAGTATCTCTTCACCTCTCTCCTACCTCATGATGCTGAATTGGCATACAAAATTGCACTGAGAGCAATGCGGTACGTATTCACAGCCCAGCCGGGCAGATGCAATCCAAATTCCCCCCTGGGAGGAATGGCTGTTCACTGATTTCTCATTCATTCATGTTTCTTGTAGGCAGCAGAAAATGTACAGAACATATTTATTTATATGTTTCTTGGATTGTGTAGTGGTTTGTTCATGGGCCGTGGGCTTGTTTGACTTCTGATTAAAAGGAAGATGGTATCTTTGACTGCTGTCATACCCTGCACTCCAGTGGAGGGTGACGGGGATGGGACTGTTTCTAGTGCTGAAGGCTTCACTAGGAGGACAGATGCTGGTCTGCCAGGATCTGCCCCCCTCAGCACTGACTGCTGCCATGTCCTCCCCAACCCCTCCTCTTCAGCAATAACAATTAGAGTATGTTCTCTGCCACTCACCTTTCTATTTTCACTTCTCTTTTAAGTCAGTTCACCAGATAATTATTTTTACTGCCAATCTGTTCTTGGTGAATATTTTTTAGTGATTTCAAGATGTATTTGTCAGTATTATTTGTAGCCTATTGTGCTTCAAGGACCTGAAAGGAATATCAACCTTTCTTAAAACATGAACTTTTTCCTTTAAAAAAAAATTAAAGCACTTCTATGTTAAAGTGCAGATTAGACCTCATTATAATCACCTAAAGACAAACCATGAACATAACCTAAAAGCTTGTGGTGCCGAAGAATAGTTAGATCCCATAGAAACTTTTCATCAAAGACTCTGTCTGCAACCAGTACAGTGGGTTCGAATCAAGCTCTTGCCTTTTTATGTGTGTACCTCATCTCTCAGAGGCCTTTTTTTGGTGCAGTGATAAGGGTGTGTGTGTACCTGTGTGTCAGTGTGTTCTGAGGCTGACATCTTTCAGTTCCACATGCTTCCCTTGGCAATGTGAAGTCTCATTTACCTACTAGAGAAACCTTATAATTCTCTTGTCTATTTTCAAAATACCAAAAAATAAATTTAAAACTAACAAGCAAAGTTTCCCACCAAATTATTTTATACCACTTGGTTTGTGTTTTAACCAATTAACTGCCACATGTCCAAAGACGCTTTTATCTCACTTGCGTCTATAGACGCTTATGGCGTACAAAGTATTAAAGCACACTTAGTAAGTTCCTATTCCCATGTTTGGAAGCCGAAAGTTGTCAGATGAAGACACATGCTCAGCTCTATACCTATTCAAATTTGAGAGTTGTGCTCCTGTGTAAAGGGAAGGATGCTAATGTTATGATGCCACCAGATGCAATTGCTCTGACCATTGTAAAGTTTAAGAGGAAAATAGCATAAGATTTCTCTGTGGGTCTGGCTTATGCTAAGGCTGACACTCAGAAACTCATTTATGATTGTGCTTGGTTGCTGCCCAGGCAGTTTGTTCATGGGGTACTAGAAGGGCACAAGGGAATTGCTTTCCCACCTCTTCTCTTCTACCTGCCACCATCCCCCTGCCAAAGGACTGTGTGGTGGGACCTCCTAGGGCAGCCATGGGAACAGGAAGGAAGAGAGACCTGTAGCTTACTTGCTGCTTAGTCCTTCTGGAAGTAGGCGTGGTGGGCTGGGGAAGGGTGTTTTCAGCACTCATTTTCTCATCTTTCCAGGGGGGTCGACTAGTTTCTTCTACAACAACTCTGGAAAGATCTGCCTGTTAATTCAGGAACATTCTGGGTGTTTTTGTGTGTGTTTTTAACTAAAGAGCAACCCCACCAAAATGCTTATTACTTAATTGACTACCTTGCCATCCTCTAATGCTAACATCTCTGTGTCCCTAGATAAGGGGAAAAGATAATGAGGCATTTGATTTACCAGAGCAGTACCTGCTCTTGGATGGGGCCCCAAGGCCAGCTTCACACCCTGCCCTTGCTAACTCTTGATCCCCAGCTCTTATTCTGTAGTTCCTAATACTGGTGTACTTGATTAAAGATCAGTGTTTTGATGATTGTAGAGGAATTATTTCAGTTATAGCTATTGTACTGATCTCTTTGGCAGTTATATTTGGAGACGATCACTAAGCATGCGCTTTGTTTTTAATAATTATTCTTTATTTGTCAACACATTAATCAAAGATTGATTGAAATGGGAAATTCACGGAATTTATACGAGACTGTCAAGGACAAATACTTGGATCATATGCATTCCTCATCTTCTGATATATATGATAGAACCTATTCTAACTACAAATGCCTGAAGGAATAAGGAACTCATTTTTTAGAATGTATGAGTAATGGAAAGGGAGTCTTTTTTTTTTTTACTTTCCCTCTTATGTTGTGTTTTAGTAAGTTAAGCATATATAGCTCAGTTATCCACCCGATCCCTGACTGTTGTAATCTAAGTCTTAATATCCACTTCACTGTTAGTTTTCTGTTGATTTCTATTTTTTAATGAGTGGTAAGATTCAAAAACTTGAAAGTAGGTAAACATCAAGACTGAGTTTCATACTTCATTATTACATATCTTAATTTCTTTGAATTGTGCAATTTTCTGAACGATATTAAAGAAAGGAATCCCTTAGGTTTGGATAATGAGTAATTAACAAGATGACTTTGGCATCCAGACAGCAGAGTGTAGCTGTACCAGCTCCTCCTGCACAAGGACTGACCGGTTCTCCCAGCATCTACCTACTCCTCTGGCAATAGGCTAGTCCCTGTGGCAAAGATGATAGATGAGTGATAACCAGGAGCCACCTGCCCTGTCTCTTCTCATTACAGGTTACTAGTATTGGAATCTGCTGCTCCAGCAGGAGACCTCACCCGCCCACACCACATTGCGTCAGTTGTTCCCAACCGATACCCTCGTTGGTTCACTTTAAGCCACATAGAATCCCAGCAGTGTGAGCTGGCGTCCACCATGCTAACTGCAGCCAAAGGTATTGGATTGTCCTGAGGCCTCATGATTATTTTGTTAGTTTACCTTTTTGTTTAAGGGTCATGTTTGCTGTCAGATTCTCAGTAGTTGGTTGTAGGGGATACTTTTCATTAGTGTTAGCTTATGGGGCAAAATAGGTGTTGTTCATTTGAGCCTGGCATTTTCCTCTTTTAACTGTATCATTAAACCTGTTGCTGGCAAAGTTCAGGTTTAGTTGCCATGCCGTGTGAGTGATGGTTGAGATTCAGAAGGAGATTGAAAAGTTTGGTTATATTTTTTTCTTTCCCTGAAATATTCACCAAACATATATAAGTAGGAACTAGGAGAGCTATTTGTTATCTCGTGTTGGTCCTGGGTCACATGTGTTTGTAGTCATTGAGCGTTTGTTTCAGTGTTTCTTTTGGGTGAAGCCAAGATTCATAGACATGGCAGTGACTTAGTTATAACATCTGTGCCACCTGTGAACATTTCAGGGAAATTAACTTCTGCTTTATGTTTATTTTGTTTCCTTTTTACTTCCCTTTGTATGTGTGTGTTTGGTATGATTTTTTTGTTTGTTTTTATTTTGCTTTGATTTGATTTGGTTTGGTTTTTTCTTGTTCATTGCAGGCGATGTTCGGAGGCTGGAAACAGTATTAGAATCCATCCAGAAAAACATTCACTCCTCATCCCACATCTTCAAGCTTGCCCAGGATGCATTTAAAATAGCAACTCTCATGGACACTTTGCCAGACATCACTCTTTTGAAAGTGTCTCTGGAGCTGGGCCTGCAGGTATGTGACTCATGGTCTTTCTTAGGATACCAAGGATTGCTAAATAAAGGCAGCATTTTGAAGTTGTTTCTGTTTGCTTACTTGGATTTATTTAGTGCAGGTAAATGAGTTGGGTGCATAAGTCTGTTAGACTTTCAGGAGAGCACTGTGCTTCAGAGCTGAGGTCATTTCCCCTGAACCAAGTACTGCCTGAGGTGCAGGGACTGGATTGACATTTAGAAGGCTGATTTGATATGTGTCTTTCAAATAAGAAAATCATTTTCTATAGCCTTAACATCACCTTTTCTCCTTTAATGAATAGAGAAGGGTTATTGCTCATTAGAGACTTAAATAAAGCTATCATCCTATCTAATAAGGAGGGAATATGCTAATTGACTGCCCCACCCTCGAAGATGGCAGCACCCACAGCCACAAGATGGCCGGCAGGGAGGGGAGTTGTGGGCGATCAGACCAGTAAGGGAGGGCAGTTGGGGGCAACCAGGCCGGCAGGGGAGGGCAATTGAGGGGGACCGGGCCAGCAGGGGAGGGCAGTTGGGGGCAACTGGGCTGGCAGGAGAGGGCAGTTGGGGGCGACTGGGCTGGTAGGGGAGGGCAGTTGGGGGCAATCGGACCGGCAGGGGAGCAGTTAGGCGTTGATCAGGCTGGTAGGGGAGTGGTTAGGGGGTGATCAGGCTGGCAGGCAGAGGTGGTTAGGGGCAATCAGGCAGGCAGGCAGACAAGCGGTTAGGAGCCAGCAGTTCTGGATTATGAGAGGGATGTCCAACTGCTGGTTTAGACCCGATCCTGGCAGTTGGACATCCCCCGAGGGGTCCCAGATTGAAGAGGGTGCAGACTGGTCTGAGGGACACCCCCCCACACCCCCCACCCCCACCCCCCACCCCCAGTGCATGAATTTATTGCACTGGGCCTCTAGTGTATAATAAAGATTCAGTTGTTGGGGTAAATTTTTAGAGGAAGTATGAATTTTTATTGATGTTTGCATTTTCATAATAGATGGGTAGTTCTAGCTCTTTTTTAATTTAATCCTCATCCAAAGAGGGGAGGGTATTCCATGATTTTTAGAGAAAGTGGAAGGGGAGAGGTTAGAGGGGGAGAGGGAGGAGAGAGACAGACAGACAGACAGACAGGCGTTGATGTGAGAGAGAGATATCAACTGGTTAAATCTGCAATCAAGGCACCTGTCCTTGACCAGGAATCGGACCTTTGGGCTGTAGGCTGACTCTCTAACCACTGAGCAAACCATCAAAGCACTCTCTTTTATAACCCTGAGAAATTAGGTAAAGAAGGAGTGATGGCCCTAGCTGGTTTGGCTCAGTGGATGGAGCATCGGCCTATGGACTGAAGGGTCCCAGGTTTGATTCCAGTCAAGGGCACGTGCCTGGGTTGCAGGCTTGGTCCTCGGTGGGGGCCATGCAGGAAGCAGCCGATCAATGATTCTCTCTCATCATTGATGTTTCTATCTCTCTCTCCCTCTCCCTTCCTCTCTGAAATCAATAAAAAATATATTTTAAAAAAAAGAAAAAGAAGGAGCGATAGTGCCAGGGCCAGTTTCAGCATTCAGCAAGCCATTAGACATATTACCCAGGACATTTTCAGTTAGTTATGCCAATAGATGTTTGCTTTCTTATAGTTTCTGAAAAGATTACTGTATAAACCCAGAACTGTAAAGTTTATATTTCTACCTTACTCGGGAAATCTCTGTATGCATTTATGGGGGCTTTTTTTCCCCTCCTTGAAAAGCAGTAAAAGACATTTTTATCTTCTAGTTACCTAAAGTATGGGGCATGGAATACCCTGATTAGGTGATTAATCTAGTTTTCTAGTTATGGATTCTCCTTACAGTAATTAATAAAGTTTAAAGAGTTGTATTACAAGAAAATACAGTTACCGTATATAGTACTATACGAGCAGAGGGTATAGGACAGTGATGGCGAACCTATGACGCGTGTCAGAGGTGACATGTGAACTCATTTTTTTGGTTGATTTTTCTTTGTTAAATGGCATTTAAATATATAAAATAAATATCAAAAATATAAATCTTTGTTTTACTATGGTTGCAAATATCAAAAAATTTTTATATGTGACACAGCACCAGAGTTGAGTTAGAGTTTTTCAAATGCTGACACACCGAGCTCAAAAGGTTCGCCATCTCACTGGTATCGGAGATTGATTGCATTTAAACAATAAAATGACATTTTAGAAGTTTCTTTATAAAAATGAATTCTGGTTATTTGGCTTATTTCTTTTGCCTCTTAAAGGTATGCAGGAAAAAACACACATTAATACAAGTTTTCCAGGTATTTGGAATCCTGGCAGATTTGGGGGATAAATGGCAGGTTACTGAGAGTTTGCTCCCTGCCTCATTCCTTGTAGGACACAGAAAGAAATCCCACGGGGCCTTTCCAAGGCTTTCGGAGTTACGTGCCTAGATTTTCTGAATCTTAAAACAATAGGGGAAATAGGAACAGAGGGATATTTTATCTTGGGGTCTCTTCCTAGAAAGTGAAAAACAAACTCAGATCACTAATGATGCCAAAGATGATTTCTTTCCATGGACCTGAGGTTATCTTCACACTTGCCAAATAAGAGAACCAGAAACTGAAATAATGACTAAAATACCTCTGCCATCTGAGGGTTTGTAATCAGAATTATTTTAGGAGAGCCTCAGAAATCTAAAACCATGGAATGTTAAAGTTGGGGAGAAGATGAGGCCTGGACTGTGTTTAATGCTTCAGCCCAGGCCTCTTATTTTGCAGATGAGAAAAGTGATTGAGTGACTTGTCCAGGATGCTGCATCTGGTCAGTTGGCCCACCAGGAGTGGACCTCCTGCCTCTCTGGCTGGGACAAGGCTGGGAGAGCCATGGACAAATTCATATGCAGAGCTTTCTCTAAATATGTCCCTCCGTCCTCCTGCTAATAGGGGGACTGCCTTGTAGTTATACCTTGGAATGAATTGTTTTATATTTCCACTGACTTGGGATAATCTTCCAAAACTCTTTGTTTTCCTATCTTTCTTTATAGGTTATGCGAATGACACTGTCAACCTTAAATTGGCGACGGCGGGAGATGGTCAGATGGCTGGTAACATGTGCTACTGAAGTGGGTAGGTAAACTCTGGAGGAGGAGCTTCCCCAGATACCTCCTGTCAGATTTAACTCCTCAGTTATAGGTACAAGAACTTCTTCCCTCTTTCACCTTGACTTTTCCAAGGCTCCTGCCACTCCAGCAACCAACAGGGGCTCCCTTCCCTCCAGCCTTCAGTTGTGTACACACTTGCATTGCTCTTCTTCCAAACTGTCAAGTATGTGGGGCTCCAAACTCACTAAAATGGAATAGGTCAGTGAGAAAACGCTTTTTATCCAGTTGTTCTGTCACTGTTAAGGTGCTTTTAGTAACTTTTTGTGATAATCAGGTTACAATTTTATACTAAAGGGTTCCAGCATGAATCCTTGGGGGATTGGAGCCCACCTTTGAAACTAACTTGAGACTGGATTAGTGGTTCAGTCCATTTCAGTAACAATGATATAGTTGCCTATTTGCTCGGAGTGTTTTCTTCATCCTCTCAGGCCTTGTCATGCTGCCCAGCAGAGAAATGACCACTGGGTATGGTTCAGGTGAGCTCTCAGATGTGTGAGATACTGTAGCTAGCCCTAAGAAGATCCCCCAAGCTGCAATTGGTGAGACCTTTTAGCTGCCTGCTTCCCCTCTGCAGCAGTCAGTGCTGAAAAAACTACATTCGCAGCGGAAGCACCAACACCAACAAAATGGTGGCTGTTGAAAATAAATGTTGGTTCACCTGTCTTTCTTTCTTCCTGTTTGCATCAGAAAAGGACACATACCTCTTGCTGAGAGGACACTACCAGCTCAGTATTTAGAAACTGACACAACAGATACTGTAAAGTCATTCTTACTATTCTTCTTTTATTAATTTGTGATGGTTTGTTATTTTGGGAAAAGGTAAATTGGTCTCAATATAAAAATTATGTCTATATTATTGATGTGATGCTTTAGTGAAACAATACAAAGTAATACCACCTTAAGAACTGCCACACAATTCCCCTTCCTCTGCACCAAGATATATGCCTAATTTCTCTCTGCAATTTAGTACCTTCTCTTTAAACATTCACCTTTAGTACTTTTCTACAGCTGAGGCATGTTGGGTCTGTGTACTTAAAATGGTTATTTTTAAGTTCTTGTCAGCCATTTCCAACATCTGAGTCATCTGTAGGTCTGCTTCTGTTGAAGTTTTTCTCTTGATTATGGGTCACATTTTCCTGCTTCTTTGTGTGTCTTAATCATTTTATATCATGTGTATTTTAAACTTACACACAAACCCACACACACACCACATAAAAACTACCTATTTTATTGGGGGTTGTGGTTTTTCTGAGAAAAACTACAGATTCTGTAGTGAGTATCTGACAGGAGGCCCCAGTGAACTGGAACTCATTAGCAAAAAGCCATTGTCTGAAATGGCAAGCAGCACAGTGCAAATACCAGCTACAGAGAGGATTAGTTCTGTATTACAGGAAGTTCATGTTCCTTTCAGGCACTTCACTGAATAACAATCCATAATAACTTTATTCTAAAAGGTTGCTCCCAGGCACATTACCTTATAGGATTTTCTGGCCTCGCTCATGTCTGGTGATAGTTAACAATGTAAGCATTGATTGTAAAGTGAAAATAAGGCCAGACCTCTAGGCAGCGTCCTTGTCAGTAATAAGGCTTCTCTGTGTTCCTTGCAGGTGTTTATGCCCTAGACAGCATCATGCAGAGCTGGTTTACGCTTTTTACTCCCACCGAGGCCACAAGTATAGTTGCAACCACGGTGATGTCCAACAGCACCATTGTCCGCCTCCACCTGGACTGCCATCAGCAGGAAAAGCTGGCCAGCAGTGCTCGGACACTCGCATTGCAGTGTGCCATGAAGGACCCTCAGAACTGCGCCCTCTCCGCACTCACCCTATGTGAAAAGGATCACATAGCCTTTGAGACGGCGTACCAAATTGTTCTCGACGCTGCTACCACCGGCATGAGCTACACCCAGCTCTTCACGATAGCACGGTACATGGAGCACCGCGGGTACCCCATGAGGGCCTACAAGCTGGCCACCCTGGCCATGACCCATCTCAACCTGAGCTACAATCAGGACACGCACCCTGCCATTAATGACGTTTTGTGGGCCTGTGCGCTCAGCCACTCCCTCGGTAAAAACGAGCTTGCAGCTATAATACCTCTGGTGGTCAAGAGTGTCAAGTGTGCAACGGTACTGTCAGACATTTTGCGCAGGTGCACTCTGACCACCCCTGGCATGGTGGGACTTCATGGAAGGAGGAACTCTGGTAAGCTCATGTCCCTGGACAAAGCCCCCTTGAGGCAGCTCCTGGACGCCACGATCGGGGCTTACATCAACACAACGCACTCGCGACTCACCCACATCAGTCCTCGGCACTATAGCGAGTTCATAGAGTTCCTCAGCAAGGCCCGAGAGACCTTCCTAATGGCGCATGACGGACACATTCAGTTTACGCAGTTTATTGACAACCTGAAACAAATCTACAAAGGCAAAAAGAAACTGATGATGTTGGTTCGGGAGAGGTTTGGTTGATAGAACTTGTATGAATGGGGTGGGGGTGGGGGTGGGAGGGATGGTTTGTTTTTACTTGAGCCTGCCTTTGTATCCTTTTTAACTTAAAGAACAGAGCCACACCGGTATTATATGTGTATAGTTCTATTGCGTTTGCAGACTAAATTGTCATGTTGTGAAAGTTCGTGTGTTCTTAATTTTTTTCTACCCTTTCTCTTATCTTCTTTCCTTTTACTTTATTATATTTTTTAATTCTTTTTTTTTTTTTTTTTTTTTGTATGAGAGAGACGTTAAAAAGGTTTGGTTTACACTGAGTATATGTTGTCAAGTGGCAAAAGTCCACATAGCTCTCCTGTTTTCTGTATACGTTCACAGCCTCAAAAAAAAATAATTGAAATGGCTTTAAAAACCAAACAGAACACCTCCATCCTGTGATAAGTACCTCGAATGGATTCAGCTTTACTCCTTTGTAACTCATCTTTACATTTTCAGCATATTTAAACAAACCAACAAAATGAAATACTAGTAGTTAAAGGCTGACCCACGTGGCTTTGCAATGCTGTTCGTCCAGAAGCATGGCACACGATGCTTGTGCATGTGGAAACTTAGCGACTGTCAACATACATTCTCAGGGATTTATCAAAAAAATTAAAGAATGAGAGCATTTATTGTACTGTATATATATTATAGTATATGTCTGAATATTGAAAATATAACATTAACTAATTTATAAAAAATATTCTATGTAATGCAAAATACTTGAAGCTGCAGTAGCTTGGTTTTAAACAAAAACAAAATGAGAGAAAACCTATCAGAGGGACTAAAAGTGCGCCTTGCTTCAGGGTTGGCTCAGGCGGTGAACTTCATACTGGGCATCTATGCAGAGCCACCTTTGGATTGCATGGTTGGACTGAGATCTATTTGGGAGAAATTATATATGTATATATATATTTATACAACTTATGTATACATATATATGTAGATACAGACACCAGACACACACACATACCAACAACAACAACCACTACACCACACATGCTTGTAACAGGCACTAGAAGAAAGAGGGACAACAAAAACACAGCCAGAGCAGCAAGCCTTAGCATTAAGAATATACAGTATGCCGGAACTGGGGTTCGTGCCTCCTAGCCTACGAAACTTAAATATCCTTTTGACACAAACGCAAAATGTTTTCCAGAACAATTGACTTATGATACATAACGCCTTTGCAGTGAGCTAATAAGCTAACCTTTGTGCACAAATAACATTATATATATTATATGTCTCTTCTGCATAGGTATTTTGACTTTGTGCAGGACAGAAAGTTGTGTAGGTAGGACTGTTCTATTTTCAGTTTTCTTTCTTTTTTTTAAAATATATTTTATTTTCTCTAGAATTACTCAAAACAAAAGCAGCCTTCTATCTTGCCTTGTCTTAATGCTTTAAAATAACCAAACTGGAGATCTAACTACCAAACTGTTCATTATATTATGAAATACCAACTTTGGTTACAGTATAGTGTCTTTACTTTAGCTGATGGTTCTGTAACCTTGTGCTTTTTAAAGCAATTTTTATGTTTTGGTGCAAAAGTTGTCCAGTGTCTCTTGTTCCCTTCATTAGAGAACATGCTAGAGGTATGTTTGTAGGTATTTTTGTTTAGAAGAACTATTTCATGCGCTCCATTTTATTTATTATAATAGGTAAAAAGAAAAAAAAAAAGGTTGTACTTCATCACCCATGTAAACATGCTCATGAAGTCGAAAGTAATTAAGATTTGATACACTGATATCAATTTATTTATGTAACTAAATCACTGTTTTATAAACTTGTTAATGATCAACAATTTTTGTTTTGATTAAAATTAGTTTTTTGAAAGTTGATTCTGCCTCTTTTTATGATATATCTCTTACTACACTTGAACTTGGTGATTATAGAACTGGATTTTACTACATCTTCAAGTGTTTATATTCACTTATCTAATAAATACTTAAGTACTAGTCCCTGGAGATACAATGGTGAACAAACAAAACCAAACATTGGGGTTTACTGTCTGCTTAATGGACAAGACAGACATAGATCAGATACAAAGATAAACTATAAGATAGAATAGCCAATTTCTCTTCACTTTGTATACTTAGTCATTCCTCCCTAATTAATAAACTATAACTTAAGATACTCTGCACTTGATATAGTTAATAAATGCTAAGTTTATGGAAGGTTTTTTGGTGTGTGGTTTAAAAGGAAATCTATAATAATAAAAGTGTAATATGCTAATTAGACCAGACAGCCGGACGTCCTTCCAGATGAAGCCGCAGCGGCAGGGCCAAGGCAGAGGCGGTTAGGGATGATCAGGCAGCCAGGCGGAGTGGTTAGGGGCGATCGGGCAGGCAGGCAGGCGAGCCAGCGGTCCCAGATTGAGAGAGGGATGTCTGACTGCTGGTGTAGGTCCAATCCTGCAGGTATGGGCAGTTGGTCACCCCCAGAGGGGTCCTGGATTGCAAGAGGCTGCAGGCCGGGCTGAGGGACTCTCCTCCCCCATGCACGAATTTCGTGCACCAGGCCTCTAGTTGCATTATAAGGATAAATGCTGCGTATACACTCTAAGCATCTGTCCTGCCCCATCTTCATTGAAAAATGTATGTGCAAATAATACAGATGTGTTTGCTTTTTGTATGTGATAAAACACCATTAGTTTACCATTTTAAGTATACATTCAGTAGTGTTAAGTATATTTACATGCTGTGAAACGAGCTCCAAAACTTCCTCATCTTGCAGAACTAAACTCAATATCCAGTAAACAACTGCCCTTCTTGTCCTTCCCCAAAGTCCTGGAAACCACCATTCTACTTTCTATTTCTATGAATTTGATTTGAATTTCTTCTATAAATTACTTTAGAGATCTCATAAAAGTCACAGTATTTGTCCTTTTTTGACTGACTTATTTCATTTATCATATGTCCTCAAAAGCTCATCCGTGTTGTAGCATGTGACAGGATTTCCTTTCTTTTTAAAGGCGCATAGTATTTCATTGTATGTAAATACCATATTTCATTTATCCATCCATCAGACATGTGGTTGCTTCCACCTCTTGGCTGTTGTGAATAGTACTGCTGTGAACACATATGTGCAACTGTCTCTTCTGTACTCTCCTTTTAGTTCTGGTAGATACAAACCCAGAAGTAACATTGACAAATGTTTTTTTAAAGCTACAACTTTCAGAATAGTTAATCCCTTGAAATATTCTTAAAATTATCTTTGACATCTAGTCTTAACAGCAGATTCCAGATGTCAAAAGGTTAATAGGTAGAAGTTTAAATAAATCCATGATGACATTTTAAAATCCCATTAACACCAAGTAAAAATAAAAAACAGAACTATAAAATGGTATGGGGATTGATTCCTTTTTACAAGTTTATTCTCATTTTTTTGAAAGTGCTGCCTAAGTGTAAATATAAATTTATGTGGGTCCATTGAAACCACTGGGACATTTTGGTAATGAAGTGACTGCTAAAAAGTCTGGAGGAATGGCATCAAAGGAAGCACAAAGTGACTTGTAGGAGCCAAGAGTCGGAGATCTCTCTCCCCTGATGGAAAATTGGTCTGCACCCATTGACTGTCTTTGCAGGGAGGTCTTACTTATTGTGGACCTTTAGGATAGATGAGACCGAGGATAACAGACAAATGAACTCATTACTCTCCCCTCCCCGTTTTAACCCACACGCTTGCACTACCAGGATCTGCTTTTTGGTTATGCCTGTGGTCAAGTACATTAATCTGATGTGTCGTGTTTTCTCATCTTCCAATGGACCAGTGCTAGAAAAAATCCTGACCTGATTAAAATTTGAACAGGAAGGAGAAATGGAAGGAGCAAAAACTTGGATAATTCAAAGGCGAGAGAGGATTCCTAACTGGGTACTGGACTGTAGAATTCTGCATTTTACTGCTCTTGACTTGGGATTTCATTTGAGAAGAGAAGCTATAGTTTCAGGGTGGAAATGAATGTTTCATGACTTTCAAATATTAAATCAATTGAATAAAAATTATTAGCTCAAGTTACTGTAGTCAATATTATAACAAGTTACAGTAGCAAAGGAGAACTAGGCTTTTTCTGAATGCTGAAAAAATTGTTAAATGGCAGCTGTTTCAGGGATTTAAATGTGAGAAGACAGGAAAATGTAGAGAGAAACATAATCATTAAGTAATCTGATAGATTAAGAAATGTGACTGATGCCGAAACTGGTTTGCTCAGTGGATAGAGAGTCTGCTTGCGGACTGAGGGGTCCCAGGTTCGATTCCGGTCAGGGGCATGTACCTGGGTTGCGGGCACATCCCCAGTGGGAGATGTGCGGGAGGCAGCTGATCGATGTTTCTCTCTCATCGATGTTTCTGACTCTATCTCTCTCCCTTCCTCTCTGTAAATAATCAATAAAATATATATAAATAAAATAAAAAATAAAAAAAAGAAATGTGACTGAGGTAAAATTTAAGGTGAATGGCTTTCCACCAGTATGAGGACCAGTTCAAGCCAGTGTCGGTAAAAGAGGTTGAAATGTGAGACACTGAAAGGATTCTGAATGGTTTGTGCAGCATATTTTTGTGTGCCGACCACATGGTAGGCATGGTCCTGGGTGCTAAGAAAACAAGTAGTGAGCAAAATACCTATTCTCATGGAGCGAAAAGGACATTCTAAGTGAAAGGGAAACATAAATAATATAGGGACAAGCAGGGGGAGCGTGCTAGTGTAGGGACTTGGGAAGACGCCTCTATGAAATATGAGCAGATAGATGCCTGAAGGAGGGAGCGGGCCATGCTGCTCTCTGGGAGATGTGTGTTTGAGGCAGAAGGAACAGCAAGTGTGAAGACTCTGAGGTAGGGTGTCTTTGCACTTCTATACCTCAGATCAGCAAAGGAAAGAGACTACAGCCAGGGCAGAATGGGCTGGGAGGAGGGTGAGGTAGGAGGTAAGTAGAGGGAAATTCAATTAGATAATAAAATATTTTTCACTTTTATTCCTATAGGAAATAGTAAATATTTTTCCTCTGTATTTGAAGGATCCAAAATAGGAGAGTTGTGATCTGACTTATAATTGAGACAAGAAGCCATTTACTGGCTGCTGTGTGGTTACAAGGGCAAGAGGGAAGGAAGCAAGGAGGCTATTAGGGTAATCGCAACAAAGGAGCGCGGGCCCTGTAGGGTCCGTGGAGATGGTGACAAGTGATGAGAGTCCGGCCTGGCCAGGTTGAGGCATTTCTGGATGTTATATGTAGCATGTGAGGAAGAGAGGCATTAGGACGCCAGCATTTTAAACTTGATCTACTGGACGGAAGAACCTGCTAGCAACTGAAATGGAGGCAATGCAGGGAACAATTGTTTGGAGGAAGATTCGGAGTTCAGTTTTGACCATATCAAAGTTGAGATGCCTCTAAGATACCCAAGTGGAGTTTTCAAGTAGGAATTGGTTCAGGAAAAAGAGCAGGACTTGACCTAAAAATTTGGGACTCTCTG